ATAAGGAACCACTGATTTAGAAGATCCTAACGAATTCCAACGAAAAATTGTCGGATCTATGGATCGATCGATGTTGATTTAATTGAGCCGGCAGTTTCGAGATGAGGAACACTGTAAAAGTTTCCCCCTGTTGCTTTTGCTTCAACAAGATTAGAACTTCAAAATACTTGGGTTGGTGAACAACGCGAACCCGTAGGCAGAGACACCGGCTGCACACCTACATGTTTTCTAAATAAGTCTTATTCGTAGGTTGGCTGTACGATGGAAGCGAAACTTATATCTTACATCTCCGTCTATTCGACCGTTAAACAATTCCTGCTCGTATGATTTTAAACGTGAATCCTAGCAAAAAAAAAAAAAAAAAAAGAAGAAAAAATATGAACTATGTGTATTAACCCTTTTCAAAAAGCTTCATTTACCTACGAACGAAAAGTATGTAATCAAAGACGACTCGTTGCACTGAGAGAGGCACCTATAGGGACGAGCATTCGGCGACACCCTGCAGAATGTTGCCAGTGAAAATCTCAAGCACTGCGATCGCAAGCAGGAGTCCCTCCTCCCCGGAGTAGGTAACCGGTCCCAAACATATTTACCCGCTTTGGTCTTACGCCACAAGCTCTATGCAGTACATAAATCCCACATGAAACCCGGGCTTACTACTACGGCTACGACCCTACTGCCGAGAGGTATTACGTACGATTCACTACACCGTACTACTGGACCATGTTCTACCATGGACATATATAGCTTTGAATTAGTAAAAAACCATTAGTTTGCTTTCAAGGCGAATTAAAATTAATTCCTGAATGAACACACCGGGCTGGGTTTACGGCGACGAGCCGTCGTAAATGTGCTACGCGCGTTTCGACTTTTGTTACTTCCAACGAAAGTTACTCTTCCGTGAAGCATGTGGTACGTCGCGTGTGTCGATACGTGAACGCACGTCTACACAAGATACTCGGGCGGAAAACACGTGCATATAGGTTATGTACGTGTTGCGGCGAGAAAGAGACGATGAGAGAAACCGAGCGTGGAAGTAAAGAGATAGGAATAAGTGTAGAGAGAGAGAGAGAGAGAGAGAGAGAGAGAGAGAGAGAGAGAGAGAGAGAGAGAGAGAGAGAGAGAGAGAGAGAGAGAAAGGGAGAAAAGAGGAGGAGAGAAGCGGAGAAGACAGTGAGCTAGTGAACGAGCAACAGAGAAGGAGAGACTATAAGGACTACTGCCGTTTTATTGGCAGAGGTGAACGACACTGCCTACTGCAAGGTGGATGCCTGTATTTTCGCATAACCGCTCGTCGTTGGAACGTGCCGCGAGTTTATGGGTCACTACGTACTGTTTTCAACTTTTTATAGTAATATAACTTGGTTGATACGAATCGAAATTACATCGGAAAGCCATCGATGTTTGTCTCTGTCTCTCTTAGTGCTTCGTCAATCTGTGTTGCCTTGTGCTTTTCAAAGAAATATAATTATTTCGAAATGTGATACAACAAATTTCCATCACTCTAAGCGAATTCTTCTTGCACCGGTAAGAAGTGGATAATTCGATAAGTAATTATTTTCGCATTCGGATAATAACAGTTTCCTAATGGCTGACTCGCATCGAAACGCGCACGTGTTTTGTATACTCTCGTTAATATTCACAATGCGTACGCGTGCTTTGTGAAATTAACGCGTAATTACGATGATCTTTTTCGAAAATTGAGAATTTATCTTCCAATCGTGTAAAAATAATAAGCGTGCATAATAGATTATGTAAGAGCGAGGATGAAATAATGGAACAACGGTCTAATCAACAAAAGTGGATTCGGAATTTACGAATGATCTGATATTTTTTAATTAATATCGCACTTTTGTTTAACAATTCACTAATTGACAAAATAAAGCCTCAGAAACCCGGCAATAGAAATATGTATGTACATGACGTAAAGTGATACGCATATGGCGCGACAGAGATTTGTAAGAACCAATATATATCTTGATTTTAGTTTTCAATTCATACAGAGTCATGTGTCTGGTCTACGTGCAATAAGAAGCAGTATGTTCAAGGAAATGTTTCAAGAAAAGATCATTGTAAAATAAAAAAATTTGTCTATCCTTTTTGCGTTATGTCATTGGCAGTTACGAAATTTATATTGCAGGAAAATCGGTCGAGTAACCTGAACTGACCTCTACTTCGCCGTTCCTCATCGATTTTCTGAACATACGTCAATACGAAGTACACCAGACACGTATTCACGGAATTAAATGCTTTTTTTTTATATAGCCGATAAATTCTATCATAGTAGTTGTATAATAGTTGTTTTAAATATATGAGAAATGAGAAACCGAAATATTTTCGATAAAACGTGCTTATCGCTAAATATTTTGAGGTTAGCTTCGGCAATTTCAGGTTATCTTTATATCGAGCGATCTAACGTATATAATATGCACAAACAATATGCATTAAAATGTGCATTACTCAACGTTTTATACATACATAACACTCAACAATAAATTGTAGTGTCATGTGTTTGATGTATTTATAATGATCTAATTTGATATACTTATTTAATCGTTTGATCACTCAATTAGTAAGTAGAGGACATGAGAATTATATAAAAAAAGTGTGAAATGAAGTGTATATATCTGAGGAATGTGTATGTTGAAATCATTAATACATCACCTGGTAACTTTGTTTATCACATCAGGATATAATTCTGTTTCATCCGTTGTGATTGCTCAATATTAAAATGACAAATGTATTGCCAATTGCATAATTTCAAGATGCATGATGTATCGTTAATAATGCAATTATATTGAATATATAATGCATAGTACATATTATTTGTAAAGGATATAAAATAACGTGATTAACGAGACAGCGTATAGTTTACATCTATCTTTAATGCCATTAGATTCATTTGATTGCAGCACAAAAAGTCAATTTATATTAAGTCAACTATTAACACATTCACATTATTATGTAATGTCATCTCTGTATAATTGTTATAATCAGAATGCAAAAGATGCTCAAATGAAAAAATGAAAGTAACTCTGAGATTCAAGGACATGGTAACTTTTTGCTTCGCCTTTAGATTCAGATCAGTATCCAGAAAATGCCAGTTCATGGAACATTTTACATTAAACATACATAAAGAATTGTGCATTTCCAACAGTTTTTACGTTCAAATCTTTTATCAACATTTTTGTAACATTGTGGCAAGAATGTGAATGCAAGAGGCATACAGAAAGAGGTAAATATAGTATGAAAGATTTGAACTAACCTTTGAGCTGTGGTAACTGTTGAAGTTCAACATCTTGTGAGTTACGATAACGAGATGAACCCTGCGATTTCTTGGATTTCTTCTTAAGGGATCTCTTGGCAAAGGGATCTATTCGGTCCACAAAAGTCGCTGACGACATGTTGAGATTAGCAGAGGCACTACGAGAGCTGGAGGGAAGTGAAACGCTGGAGGCACTTTCGTGCCTCGGCTGCACTTTTTCGGCGTTGGACGCGACTAAAGAAGATTGCATCCACCCCGAGGAGGTCGCATTCCGCGTCGAGGAAGATGAACTCACTACACACACAAGGAGAAAGCAACACACTACACGATTACGAAGCGCACGTGGTGTACCTGAACACGGTAACCTACTGGTTCAGAGGTTCCTGAAGCAGAGAGGGGTGAAAATTGATAGTAGTGCGTGCATAGCACGAGGAGATTATTCCGCGTAACAGAGCCGAACCCGTGTTTAATCGGAGGGATGTCCGTCAAACGACGAGATCCATCAAGTTCACAGTTCGATAAAAATTCGTTGAATAATCGCCGGAGGTGGTTCTTTTCGTACCGGTCGAGAAAAGGGGCGCGATCGTTTGTTAGGCGTTGTCACACGCGAACGCACGCCCCGTCGTACGTCGAATCTCCCACCTACACCGTGCAACACACAAGCGGCACCGTGTCTTTCCTTTGATCGTACGTGGATTTCGCGTTACTTGATACCACGGCCGGTCGTTTTGATCTGCGACTCGTCTTGTTCACTTCTCTCCGTTCGAGCAAATATTTGATTCACGCCACCGAGAGCCCGTGGAACGGCTGGCAGGCTTGCCGTGCCGTGCCTGCGTGTCGGGTACCAAGTCGCGAAACAAGCACCGTTACGAAATAGCTCGTATCTCCTTTGCGGCGGTGTTTCACCGCGCGAAATCTATCTTCCACAGAATTATCTTTCTTTCTCACGCGGTGGCCGCACTCCGTTCGCGCAGCTAAACGCACACACTCACTTAAACGCTTCGATGGGGGACACTGAGGCTCGAACAGCACTCGGCCGCCATCAGCTGCTCGGACCGACGAGCTTCTTTCATTTTTGCCGGAACGACCGACAGACCGTCAAGCGCTAAGTCCCGCCGAGACCTCTTCCAACATCGTACCCTTTTATCACGCGCGCACAAGATACTACAATTTCGGCATCTACCGCACGTAAAATTTAAATTAAAAAGAAAAAACGATCCTTCCACCGTCGCCCTCTTCACTTATTGAAAACCCGTCAAGAGGTGCCTTGTGTGCCTGAAAATAGTAATATGCACTCGACAATCATCGGCCGGAGATTCCCGATCAAACACGAACGTCAGCGAACGCCCTAGATCGCGCCACTTTACGTTTTCCCATTGCACCATTGAAATTTTTCGCTAGGAACATTTCAATTTGCGTTGCAACGATCCGTATATATTTAATGTCGTTTTAAACTGTCCGTTCGACTTTATATACGTATATTTCTATTTAATTATTTTTCTTGTTACTATTTATCGTTAATGCGGCGTAGCTCGTGATCAATTGGTTTCGTTCTTATGAACGTGCCTTAATACAACTATACACGCACATATATCACGTAGTTGGTACTTTTATATAGGAAAAAATAATGTAGAAGATAAAACCTTGTAAATTTGTTCTTCAAATCCTTTAATACGATGCATTATATATATACGTTGTACGTATATCATGTTAAATGACATTGATACGTATACATATAAAATTTTTATATCTTTTGCAACGTGTATTTTCATTCGCTCTAGAATCTTATGATTTTTTTCTGAAATCATTCTTTTTGACGTAGGATCGTTTCTATACTTTTTGTAACATATTCCTAGGTATATTTTTATTATTAGGTATATGCGATATTACTGATCCACTGTCATAGAATGTTGTCATATACGTGATCATAGTTTACAAACTTAGTTACTAGTGAATCACAAAAGCAGAGTGTTTTCACAAACAATGTATTTGTCATTCAGAATAAGATATTTTGAAATTGATAATATAAATAATTAACAAATTATGTCATCGTATTGTATGGAATGTAATTCGCTGTTTTGACATCTAACCTTAAAATGTTCATTCTATGTTGTTTAAGATACAGCGCGTTTACGATCTACATTTTGAAATTTTAAAAAAGTGATAAATACTCATATTGTCTTAGTATCTTATCTTCATGTGCTCGATACCAAAGACAAGTGCTTTAAATCTATTTACTCGATGTCCCGGATTATACTGTGGGAGAGAATTGCTCTCTGATGGCAACTGGAGTGACTGCGGTGCATGTCCTCGTGGGTTCAGAGCAAATGCCTCTTCGATATGTATACCTTGCGATGACGAACCAATGCTTTACGATTGGCTCTATCTAGGATTCATGGCATTATTAGCCTTAGTATTACATTGGTTTTGTATTGACATGGTATCCATGAGGCGCAACATACCTAAAAAAGTAATTGTACTACACTTGTCTGCTCTGTTGGAAGTTGTTTCTGCATCTCTGATTACTTTGCAACTGACTGATCCTGTAGGCAGTTTTTCAGTTAGGTCATGTAAAGTTACGAAACTTTCAGACTGGTACACATTGTTGCACAACCCTAGCCCGAATTATGAAGAAACCTTGCATTGCACACAGGAAGCTGTTTATCCTTTGTTAGTAACTACGTAATTATTAGCTTACTTCCTTTCTGTCTGAGAAACTAATTAATCTTAATTCAATTTTTAGGTACACGATGGTGTTCATTTTTTATGCTTTAGGAACAGCTATAATGTTAATGATAAGACCAATCATAGCCAAGAAATTTTTGCCAAAAAAAGGAAAATTTTCAATTTATGCTGCTCTTTATTTCTACCCCATTTTAGCTTTATTACATGCAGTTGGTGGTGGTCTAATATGTAAGTGAAGCAATTTACATTTTAAGAATGTCTTTATGTTTTAATAACTTTTGTTTTTAGATTATTCATTCCCATATATAACTATAACATTGTCTGTACTATCCAATGCAGCACACTTTTCATTTAAATTAAATCAGGTAATGTTCTTTGATCATTGTTTATATTTGAATATATTGTTTGTAAATGTTTCATGAATGTGTTTTTCAGTCAATGAAAGCATTGTTGTTGAGCTGTGTATCAGATATGAAGAATGCAATAGTTATTTTAGGTCATTGGCTGTTGTATGGATATGGTTTAATGGCCGCGGCAACTTTCCAAGGTCTCGGCATTCATCCAGCAATGCTTGCTTTAGTTCCTTTACCTGCGCTGTTTTATATTCTTACTGCAAGGTTCACAGATCCACATAAACTTCATATAGAATAATAAAATTTATTGCATTATAACAAAAAGTCTTTTCTTTAAAAAACAATAATGGATTAATTATAAAATATTATATTTTTACTGCATCATATTTAATTATATTTTCCACAAAAGCAATACATAATTGTAATAAATACCATTACATAATAAGCAGAAGATTATTGATTGATTAGAGTCTTTTCTTATATTTAATTCTTTGGAACAAACGTTAAAACAATTGTACTCTTGCCAGATATAGGAACCTTGTTCGAAGGTAACTTTGTTCTGAAAAAGAGATTTCATTAAAATAATTATTAATATTTCATAAAAAAAACAAAATATTAAATGACAATAAAATAATGTTACTTTATTGTATCGCCGTCTTGTGCGTAATTCGGACTGTATGCAACTACATTAACTTCTTCAGACATCTGCGGTATTGTAGAGAAATCCGCCACTATAGGTTCTTCTGCTGACTGATATGCTACTAAGTATCCAGGATTACCACTCTTTAACCTAAAGATTTATTTAATTTTATGGTTTGTAATTATAATTTTTTTATAAAGGAAAAGAAAAATTGATTAGTTTTTAGTAACAATAATTAAATTAATATTTCATATTCTCGTTAATTAATCAGTGGTTAGTCAAAATCGTTATTATTTAAAATTAGTTTTATAAAGATAGGCTTCATGCAATATGTTAGTAAGAAAACTCACCAGTTCCTGCGTTGCATAGAAGGAAGCGTGGAACAAGGCAAATTGATCCTTGGTTAGTAAATTACACAGTACAATTTGTGTCAATAGTGTGAGGTGTATGAGTTATTTAGGGTTTAAGTGTAGCACCAAAGGATAATTGAGATGATTTATAGCAATTGTGAATTGATTGAACTTTTTTTGACATAGATCAATACTATAATTACTCAGTTTTATTCTTTAAAAGATCTATATCATTTATTAATTTTTTGATGTTTTTTAATTATGAAGTTATATTTAATGTGTAAACGGAAAAACAAACACTGTTAGTAAATATGTACAAATACTGTTATATTACCTTGTGTAAACAAACACACTTCCATTAATAGTCCTAAGCATTGTTTCTCCATGAAGGAATGTTAAACTTTGTCGGGCTTTGGATAAAGTTGCAAAGGCATCTTTTGCAGATAAAGTATCGTTTATTAACAGCACGGGTGTGCCACGTAAAAGTAACGTCATGAGTGTTAAACTGTCTGCTATATCTGCAGGCATTCTCTCCCTCAAACTAAGTTTTTTGCCATTAATCTAAAATAATACAATGTAATATAACATATACTCCAATATTACAAAACTTGTAGACACTTACATCCCAGGCAGGCCAGGAAGTAAAATTAAGCCAATGCGAAAAACCACGCTGCAAAGTCGTAGCATTTATACTGCTATCTGCAGTTGTAAGGAATTGCGAATTTTGTGGGAGGTCAATCAGTCTTTTCTTTTCATTATAAACTTGTAGGATATCAGTTCCAATATCATCTTGGAGGGCAAATAACCTGGACATATATTTAGTTATGGAATCTTGTTTTAGAAAAAAACTATATATATTATAGATAATTATTAAAGATAACTAACCCTTTATTGTCTGTTTCATTACGAACTCTTTCTTGCCACTTTGTCAAAACAGCAGCATTTTCTGGGCGATCTCTTGTGTAAGCATGTATTAATGAATCATAGTTATCTGCTTCGGTAGGTATAGTGCTTCTAAATTCATCGTGAAGATTTGGATCTTCAGTTAAGTATTGAGTATTAGCTAAACGGAATCCACTGATTCCTAATTTTAACCAATGACTCAAAATATCCTAAGTATTGAAAATTAAGTATTATTAATCTACATATGTGAAAAATGATGGCAGAATAACTTACAGAAAATTCTGTAATCACTGCTGAATTGTTATAATTCAATTCAGGTTGTGTTATATTGAATTGATGAAGGTAATATTGTCCCCTTTGTTCGTTCCACTCCCATGCTGACCCTCCATAGACACTTAGCTGAAAGATATTTGTATTATAGAATTATTATAAAGATAAAAGCCAACTTGAATTTGAAAAAAAAAGAGATACAACTAACCCAATTATTAGGTGGATTACGTCTACCATCAGAAGTCACTTTTGGATCTGCCCAAACATAGTAAGATGAAAATGCTTCTTCTCTCTCTATGGAACGTTTGAACCATGGATGCTCAGTTGATGTATGACTTGGATCTATTTCTAAAATGATGTACTGTTCTTTGCCTTTTGCAGCTTTTATAAGAGCTTCTAGATCACTTATAGTTCCAAATTCTGGTCTAATATTTTTGAAATCTACTGCTCCCCCTATGATTTAAGATATAATATTAATATTTATCGTTATATTAGAGAGAAAATAGCTCCTGAAAATAATTCTGTAGTACCTGTTGGACTTTCTTTAATCATGGAAGCAAGAGAGATTGCATCTATATTTTGTTCTTTCAGAGTATCTAATAAATCTTCTACACTTTTCATATCATGATTGTATGTTTCAACAGGATCTAATCGTACGATAACACTCTTTTCCCACCATTCTTTAGGTTTTGGTGCTGTACATTTCGGTGCCATTGCTACAATAGCTATAGCACCACCCAACATGGCAACCCAAAGTAACCAGAAAGCAATGAATAAAAACCATCTTAATCGAATCCAGAATGGATCATTAACGAACTTCATGAGCTCCTCTTTTCCCATTCCTGAAAGGGCTTGCTTCACTGTTTCAATATCAATTTTGGTGTCTCCATTTTCAGAAATAAATTTTACCTATTCAAGATAACTATATGTTACATATAAAATTAACACATATTTAATGTATATATTTCATTTGAACACTTAATGAATCATTATTATTTCCTCAATGGTAATTCCACCATCCATCTTTCTTATTCAAGATGATGCAACAGGAAAAGATTCTTACTTTTGAATAATAAATGCAGTACAATGTGAAAGAAATATAGAACGTGTAAAAACATGTGATAAAAAATTAGAAAATCGTCTACAAGTAGATTGAGCGTTTCCTAATTATTACCGAACAAAAGAAATTTCCAGTTAAGATAAAAATAGATAAACGTTAAAGTACAAAGGGGGAAAAAAGTAATAACTTCAAATGAAACAATTATTATAATAGCAGCAAGATTGATAAAGAAGAAAAAGATGCCTTCAATTACATATACACGCAAGTATCTTTCATAGATCGCAAGAAGTACTTCTCAAAAATATTGATTATTGACATACCTCGGTCGTATCTTTCGTGGGAGAGATTTTACTCTCCTCTTTAAGCATTTTTTCGCGGACCCCACCGTCAACGTCGGTTTCATTTTCCGGTTTTCCCATTGCAATATTTTCGACTTTACTTTGCACAGCACCGTCGTCGTCCGGCAACGCCTTGTACGTGGCGACAACTACCGTTTCTTTCGTATTCCCGTTCGCTTCGACACTATCTAAATTCAGTCTCCCACTCTCCATTATTATTATCAAACGAAATCAAGGACGTTAAACGATTTTACGTGACGGGGATGAGCGAATATTCTTTGCTGTTCTTCTGATGATTGCGATCGATCCCATATAACGAGAGGTTCAAGAATGACTGGACAAATGCGTTTTACCCCATAGAGGCATCTGGTTGGTTCTTGCTCCCCTTTTGTTCTCTGGATCTATTTACTTTTACTACCACAAGCATAAAATGTAAAGAAAAAGCAGGGACGACTTTCATCCCTCGAGAGTATTGTAGGCTTTACAAAATATTTCAGAGTGGCTAATATTAAAATTTATAACATGCCATAAAAGTAAATGAATACCTGCCTAATTTACTAAACGAATTATGTACTTTTATCTAGATTATAATATCTTAGTGAAGATTTATGTTTATGAACTGTATTAGAAAATGTTAATAAATTATGAAATATGAATGAAAGATTCGATTAAAAATTAAGAGATCCTTTGAAATGATATAAGATTAAATAAAAAAAACAAACATTGTTTCGTAAAATTATTAAAGAATTTTTATTAAGAATCAATTTGCACGGGGAGCCGTGTCGCCGTAGTACAGAACTGAGATAATTCTCCCCTTTGAATCAGCCGTTTTTAACGACGAATAGAATACTTGGACAGAAAAATAGCGCGAAAAATATTTCGTTTTGTATATGAAAGTTAAATTTATTGCATTTCTTTTAATATTACAAAATATTACAATTTCTTTTAATATTACAAAATATTTAAACGATATTTTCATGTTTAAATAATGTACAACATTTTTTTTACGTTCATACGTAAGAACGATAAATAATGTATGCAAGTAATTCTGCATAATATCTGTTTTATTTCACACTTAAAGATTTCATAGATATTTTAATCTGCTCAACAGAAGTGAGGAATTAAGCCGTTATCTTACATCTTGCCGATAGCACGAAAAAAATATACTATCTTCACGAACATACATTGACCTTTCCTTTATTGACTTATTTAACAACATCTGACTGAAAAATCCGGAAAGTTTACTGAAATAACGTGTGAATAATCCGGAAAGTTTACTGAAATAACGTGGAATTAAGACAATTACATAATTTGAGATATCGGTTCATGGATAAACAAAATTTACAGCATTATCCAGCTGTTAAATACTCACTGTATTCGTTGTATTTACAGTAGAATTGTAGCACGTTTTTGATGGAAAACAGCAGTAAGATAAAATGGATATAACAATCACTACTATTAACATTATCCATAAAAACCAAAATATGCACACACGAATACTCATACACACCGGATCGATTGAGTAGTGTCTGAAATTATCGCTCGCCAATTCTGAAAAACGGGGAACTCTTTTTCAACGCCGTTTTAGCAATATCTTTCCGATATTTTATAAATTCTAGCTGCAATTTATGCACTGCAATAAATGCAATTCGTATACATATACGTTTCGCGACTATTCAAATTGTCCGCGCGCGAATCTATCTGTGTATCGATCGAATCTAAATTCAATATCGCTATTTACGAACTTCCGTTCTCGAAATGCACACGGCGGTTGAGATGCGCGAGCATACGCGTCGCGATTGGTCGAATTTAAATTTCAGATTTCGTGCAAACGGCGTTCGGGGTGTACGCGTCGCGTTCGCGTGTGAAAAAAAATCGTTTTCGTTTCGTAAACAGTGATGTCAAACCTGTGTCTTGTGAATTTCCTTTGGACTCATCGGCCTGGTAGATCGATGCAACGCAAAAGAGGTGAGTCATCTCTGTGGATTCTCTTGTTTTGCATTCCGCTCGGTCCGCTTGACACTCACCGTTGAAGTAACTGACCAACGGATTTTTCGAACCGTCGTTTCCCTCGTTGTACATTCGTTTGTTCCGGACAAGAGCGTTAATTTTATTTGCGGAATGATCCAGCGATTTTGGTTGACCATTAATGGCCGATGTTACGAAACTGGGCAACGAAACCGAATACATTTTCGTTCGCTATAGATACAGACACGAATAGATAACAATTGAAGTTGTGAAATTTCTTTCACCTCCCCTATTCTTGTTTGCCTTTCGCTCTTATCTTACAGGCGATATGTTAGACTTGATTGAATGTATTTGCGTTCAAAGCCCAGCATTGTCCGATTAACAGCAATCAGCATATATTGATAACTCGAATCACAGAAATACAACGTATTCAACTAATTATAACGCGTTGTCTGTGACCGCGAATTTAACGTGAATTGTTATATATATGAGTGTGTACCATTTTGAAATCTTTGTATTTCTTTTTTTTTTATGCACTTGTATTACTAACGAATAGACGGTAATATTAAATATTTGTATCGTTACTATGTATTATATATATAACATATGTATATATACCATCAAAAGTACAATTTCTACTGGTGATTTTAGTAGAGATACAACTGGCTTCTAAATGAGTTATTCACGCATCTGGGTTCAGATTGCTCAGCTTATGAGTCACTCAACACAGTCGCCGCTTCATGAACGTATTTACGAATAACTGTAGTATTTGTGTTGTCATTAATATAAATTATAGTAGCACTTTAGAACCAGAACGTTAACACCTGAGGCCAATATCTTTCTCAACAGAAATAAACTTCCTATTTATAGAATATGCTTAATGCGCTAAAGTGTTAAGTGGAATGAACTGAATGTACATTTGCCGTTTTTCTATAGTCAAAATCTCTCGTTAATATGAAAACAGTTATAATTGTTTTACACAACTAAATCTTCGTAGTAATTGAAAATTGTATGTTACAAGATGTAGTTCAATAACGCGTTAAAAGATTGAACAGTAATGCTACTACGATGCTCGTACTTGTTATCAATTGTACTATTGAGAAGGAAATAGCGGCAGAATTTTTCTCGGTTGTGACCGTGACAGGATCCGTTGTTGTTTCCCAGTTGCACATATTCTCAAATTTTAATACCAACGCTGCATTCGCCGTGAGCTTAATATTTACCATAGAAATATTCGACCTGGTCAATATGTTCCAAGTTGTCTTATCAAATTCAAGAATAAATCCTCTTTTAAATAAGACAAACACTTACGTAATGTGAGCTGCATTACTGGAAACGATAACAACTTCTACTGGATCCTCCAATTCTGGAAACACTGATTTTAAATTAATCGTTTGTTGTCGTAGACCCAAGTTGACGACGACGATATACGTAGGATTGTTTGCTAAATATCTGATAAGAATTAAAATTAAATATTCATTATGTATCTCATGTATCTTGAACGTATGTCATTGCGTTCTTCACAAACCTTTTAAAGGCAAACACATGGTCATTGTTCAACGTTGCAAACTCATAATCCCCATGAGTAAATACTCTGTCTTTTCTAAGAGCAGCAAGCAATTTATACGTCTTCCAATTGCTTCGTGTATTATTTTGCTGAGATTGAACGTTGCTCTCTGTGTAATCTGGATGAACAGGAAGATATGTGAGTTTGTTAGATGAAAATCCTGCTGAGATGTTAGCGTTCCATTGCATTGGTGTTCTTGCAGGGTCTCTGGAATAGCCTTCATATGTATCTTTTGACTTTGAACAACCTATAGGATCAATTGTTTCCTTCCACGACATTCTCCTGTCTAACATAGCAATCTCTTCCCCATAATAAGTGTATGCTTGGCCGGGTAACAATAAACTAATCATGTGAAGTCCATCGACACGATTCAATCCAATTCTTGTAGCTGCTCTCGAATTGTCATGATTGGAAAGCTAGATTCAAAGGAACAGACACATTTATTTTTTGAGTTATAAGCAAACAATAGGAAATAATTATAGCAATGTATACACTCTTACCACCCAATTTGTGCTTGCATTATTTGGAAGTTTCTTGAACCAATATTCCAAAACCTTCTTAATATCTTCAGCAGTGCTTGTATTATGTACAGACTTGATAAACTGAAAATTGAAAGGTGGGATTCCATTGTGTGTAGCATTACCATAAAGTGACATCAATACATCAGGAGAATCATAAGATTCTGCAATTAATAACCTGTGAATCAGAGGTTACAATATTTTAGTATGAACACTACAGTTGAAGTAAAACTTGTAATGTCTCTATACATACTTTGAAGAATTATTCTTTCCCACGCTATTCTTTTTCACCCAATTATCAATGTATGAGCGAAACTTGTACAAAAGAGCTGTGCTTTCTGATAGTCCAGACGTATAGTTTCCACTTCCTACAACAAGCTCATTCTTTAAATCTTTATCTTCATAAAGGTATGATACAGCACTGATTCGAAAACCATCAACATTTCTCCTCAGCCAAAAGTCAAACACATCCTGTGACACAAAAGATAAGTTTTTAAGTAAATGATCACATAATGCGATATCATCACAATGTGATTTCTTTACCATTAACTCTTGTAATACATTTTCATTTCTCAAATTGAGGTCAGGTTGAGATTCGTGAAACTTGTGGTAATACCATTGTTGTCTTTTGCTGTGCCATGTCCATGCAGATCCTGCTTCATTGCTGTAGGTGCTCACCTAAAAATCAAAGAAAGAGAATTAACAATTATTTTTTAAAAATTACTTTGACAATTGCAACTTACCCAGTTATTAGGAGGTATCCTGTTGCCCGTTTTATCTTTAGATCCATTTGCCCAAATATAGTAGTCACTGTAATGCTTCTGCTTTTGACTTGACAGTACAAACCATTTGTGTTTGTCGCTTGAATGATTTGGTACTATGTCCAAAATGACTTTCAAGCCTGTAATATTTTGTCAAAAGGCTATATTTACACTGAGGAAAACACAACTTTATTAGTCAAACGTACCACGATTGTGTGCTTGTTGTACGAATTCATCAAAAAGTTGGAGTGTACCAAACACAGGATCTATGTCAGTATAATTAGAAATGTCATATCCAGAATCTACGAGTGGCGATGGGTAAATAGGATTTAGCCAAATTGCGTCGATTCCAAGGTCTTGTAAATAATCAAGCCGGCTGATTATACCTGTGTAATAACATTAGATGTCTGTTCTATTATACAAACTAAAAATTAGAGATGTGACATCAAGACGAAGTATGTTTCTCAGATGTCTTTCGGTTTCGAAACATGTGCAAATATTTTTTACCACGTCTTTCTCATTTATGTTGCAAAAATGTTGCCGTTGACGCCACTACGTCGCGTTTCCCATAAATTCAAGGTGATCAATCAATTGAGAAATTATTTCCATCATACGATAATGAGTCGATTTGGACGTTATCAATGGCACACAATGGAAAGCTGAAGTAACTTCAGTTGGTACCTTGACCAACAAGCGATAAACGAGACCAGCGGTAACGCGATCTAGTTTCTTTTTTCACACGTTTCACGTTTCGCGATACGGTTCCTTAAAAATAAATCTACGAGATCATGAAACTGCTGATCATGTGTGCAACCGAGCGTTCTGATATTGCTTTCAAAGTGCGAAATACAATTAAAATGATTTTCGGGGCTTCTTGGTTTATCTGAACTTCTCTTGGTACTTTGTGTCTGAAATATTTGAAATCACCAGGGTTCGTAATTTCTCGTAAGAAAACGTAGTTTACCTTTTTGCACATTCACATGCATTCTGTGCACCTTTATACATTCCTCGAACAGACGGAAGTCTGCGGTCTGATTGACAATTACGACGATCAGACGCGCCTGTAGATTTCAATATCCGGTTCGTTAACGTACCCTTCAAGTCACCCTGGCCGTCTCCGTCGCTGTCCTGAAATCCCCTCGGCCAGATTTGATAGACCAACGCGGTTTCCCACCATTGTTTGTCCACCAGCTTGGAACTTGCCGATCTCGCCAACAAGATGAGGAGCGCCGAGACGAATAACCGAACACCGTGGAACCGAATCATTTTGTCCGTGCCCTGAAAGACTCTCGATCCGCGGCTTTGGTCCTGTTATATATATATTTTTGGCAGTTAACCGGGTTGTCGCGGTTATCTGCCGCTATCGCGATAATTCCATAATGTCCTTATCGCGCCTACTCCTTGCCCCACATACGCGTCATTGTTTACGTTCGTTTGCGTGAACGTAATAAGAAATGTTCCTTTGATCCCCTGTCGCCGCGCCGTGCCGAATCACCGATCGCGATAACTCTTTATTTGAGCAAGGAAAAGGAAAATCTAGTACCGATTGCGTCGAAAGAACAGGGTGCAATTAATTGTACATCGCCAAGTATCCGGAACACTTGCCCGGGATAAACTATCAGGGTCAATCGCGTTACCGCTGCTAATTGCAACTGCAAAGTCGGGACGCTTGCTTATTTAAGACGAAGAGGGAATAATTCAGTTAACGCGGCTAATTCTGGAAGTTTCTCATCTTGAAAAACTTTCGAGAGAGGAGAACCGCGTTGAGACTGAGCAACTGTCGATTTACTTTACTATTTGCTTTTTCCGCGAGATGATTAAGATAGCAGGACAGTTTGACGGGGCCTAAAAATTACGAAGGCTAATAAAAAAAAAAAGTACATATTTGACATGAGCTCTTGTGGTTTATTTTAACGCATTATGAACTGTAAAAAGCAACATTAAAAAAGAGAAAAAGAGGGCTCTTATTTAACTTTTTACATAAAGGCGTCCTTTTACATAACATTGTCTATCGGTGTGCATGATTTCAGCGAAACAGGATTGGCTGCAACAAAAAGGCAAAACAAGTTCAAAAGTAAACAATATTCCCTGGGGATTGACGATCCAACATTTTCATTTTTGTGAAAATCATGAAAACAGCAGCTATTTGTTTTTGATGCATCGAATTTATGCCAAAAATTTCTACGTTTCTTGTTTATATTTTTCGAAATTGTTAAAAATTAAAAAAAATGTTCGATCGTCAATCCCTAGTAAATGTTACACTAAAGATACGTACCAAGTTTCACAGTAATCGGTTGGTTAGATATCGAGATATTTTGCACATCGTTTCTAAAAACCTAGTTTCGAAAAAAAAAACGTGATTTTAAAGTTTCAGAACGTCATTTTTCATACGTATCCTTTACTTACTTTTTTTACTTATATGTCGCGGCTCACAGCTCTTACAATTCACAATTAAATTGAATCCAAGTCTCATAATATTCGATTCAGCAAAAGTAATATTTGAATCACACGATTTATACTTTATAATACTGCTCAAAGTTGTAAACAGTGATTCAATTATTCTGTATCCGGATTTATTTATTATTATACCTCAAAATAAGTCGTTTTAAAGGCTAGGACCTTTTCTATCTTATTTCCACAAAAAAAAAATCGATTGTTTGAAAATTTCTAACTCTCCTGACCCCTTAAACGCTCTGCCCGATTATTCGATCACAGTTTTCATCCAGTAAATTTGAAGCGAGTCGAAGCTGCGCGAATTCTTCCCCCCTGCCCTCGGAACAGTTTCATCCACGGTCCGGCGATCTCGTGAACGCCGGAACTTCCGGTATTTTACGTCCATGTTTTCACATCGGAACTTGCCCGGGTAATAATCAATTTCGAACGCCTACGAAAGTCCAGCGTGGAATCTGGCCTGAGAGGTAGTAGGACGATGCAAGATTTGGCGTTTCTTGGCCAACGCCAGGGAGACACTTTGGCGCTCGTCCCAAGTGCTTTCGACGAGAGTTCAAATGATCAGGTAGACAGCATCTATCACTCTGTGAGTGACAAGCAAAGATCGCACGATAAGTATCAATTGTCGATTTTTATATCATCTGATGACTAGCACGTTGAATGCCACGATTCCATGATTTTGCATGTCTCCAGAACGTTGACATGAATTTGTTATTATAATTATCTGCGACAGATAAGTTGAGGTGTATAAACATGTTCAATGTGTTTGTTTCGCCCACGGGAAATGCGTTTCTTCGATTTTCACTCATTCTTTGCAATATTTTATTAACTATTTTTTTAGTGAAATTAAAGATTGCATTTTTTTCACGTACAAGCTCGGAAACTCTTATTCATATCACCTACATAGCAACTTATTTACGAAGTGACAACACCTCAAATGAAAAAGCGTAATAATCCATTCCTGTCGAAATGGCCTATTTAGCACGAGATTTTGTCGATTATGTCTTTACAACGTGTGATATCGTTTAAGTTTTTAAGACGATCGTCAACGTGCATTGCTAGTATATAAGAGTTAATGATATATACAATAAAAGAAAAAGATGTCTATCATTTTGTGAATTTCCGTAAGAAGCAACGAGAAGTTCGAACTTTTTCCATTTTAGTGTCAATTGACTCGCGACTGTCTTCTTTTATTCTTCCTACGTTATTCTTATATGTTATTATAGCTTTCTCTCTAGGCGTCTGTTCAGGTATTGCACTATTGCATTATTACATCGTGCAACGCCAAACGTGCATCTACGCTCGTCATAATTATATCTTATATTATAAAAAAAAAAAAAAAAGGGAAGTCCATCCTGTTAGCTCAGATACAAGGGATAGTCGGTGAAAATTTCCACGTGGAAACACGACGATTTTAACTCGGCGACGGCCGAAACGCAAAGAGACAAGTCCGTGGCGTGAAATGCACCACCGTGCGAAAGAAAAAAAAAAATTCACCTTCGTATTTCCCGCTCGTATTTCAACGGAAGCCACCCCTAACGACGCGACGCCCGCCTCGTGATAATTCATCCTTGCGGTTAACCCTCTCGGCTGCGCCCAAAATGGACGAGCTCTCGCGCGTTCACCTGACCAACCCCGCCTCGAATTGTCTTATTGCGGCGCGTAACTCATCGCCTAAGCCTCTTACGAATCCTTCCCTTCTCGTACCGCGGCAAATTTATTTGTCCTCCCTTTGCACGCCCGCGGAATATTATTGTAAATTGAAAGATAATCGATGCTACCCGAAATACAATTCGAGAGAGGCAAACGCGTTATTTATATATTTATATATTTATTATTATTTATTATTTTTACATTTATTATTTATATATTTATATATATAATATATAAATTATTTATTATTATTTATTATTTATTATTTATATATTTATATATATACATTTATTATTTATATATTTATATAATATATAAATTATTTATTATTTATATATTTATATATATACATTTATTATTTATATATTTATATATATATACATTTATTATACATTTATTATTTATATATTTATTATTATTTATTTATACATTTATTATTATTTATTATTTTTATATTTATTATTATTTACTATTTTTATATTTATTATTATTTATTTATACATTTATTATTATTTATTATTTTTATATTTACTATTATTTATTATTTTTATGTTTATTATTATTTATTTATACATTTATTATTACTTAGTATTTTTATATTTATCAATATATTGCAGGTCATTGTTAAGTCTAGTAATCTATAGTTGTAGTTATTGTATCTTTAGTTGCGTTTAACGTCGAACTCGGGAACAGGTCGAGTACAGGAAAGCAGATCTCTCACGAACGAATTCCGGAAACGAGGTGTACCGTTCCTCGACGAAAACGTTCGGAAGTGGAATTACGAGAGATTGAACGGCCGCGGGCCATCTAAATTATCCTTGTTGTATCGGCGTCGATACAATGCCACTAATGGACGCATTATTAACGTAATGGAAACCTAAATCAAGCATTTGTTTCATCGAACGAGCGCGACGACGATTCGGAAATTAATTCGAAGAATTAATCAGGATGGTTCCTCGCGGTCGAACAACTTTCCAGCGTTCAGCGTTATCCGAGTTCGTTTATCGATCGAAAAGAAACCGCGTCGTAGCTTTTTACCGGGCATTTCGAATGCATCGAAACAGGGGCAGGTGAGGTCATTGCGGGAAGCTCGTAGATTGGTTTTCGGCCGAGAGGCCGGTGGAATTTATTCGCCCTCGATTTTTCCCACGTCTCGTAAAACCGCGCCGATGAAACCGGTTCGAGTTCGGAATCGGGGGAACGTTCTCGTAAAGGCACGTATGTATGTACGTACGTACGTACGTATGTATAAATTCGAGCGCCGTGTTTGCTTATCTTTTCATTGATTCGTAACGTCGAACCGACTGGTCAGAACAGAGCGAAACAGAGAGAACATCGCGATCACGTGGCACGTCGTTTCGCGAGAGTTCCTGGTAAAAGGAAAACGAAAAACGGTGTAGATACATATTTCGTAGCCGAGGGAGAAAGAGAGATGGAGGCGAACGATATCTCGCGCGAAACACAGGAAACTACTTAACGATAAAACGGGCGAGCCCCGCGCCGGGAGGTGTCGTCGTCGTAGCCCTTTATTATTTATCGAGCCGTTTTGCGGGCACAATAGGCGAACCGTGTCAGTCCCGCGTGTCGTCAACATCTCTAAAACACCTGCGCTACGATATTATATGTACGTACATATATCGGGCGATTGAAGCATTGACTCTCGGCTGCAATGGATTCGGCTCCCCATTGTTCCCCGGCGGCACAATAGCGTCATTTCGAAGCCAATCAAGCCTTTTCGACTAACAATTAGCACTTTCGCGCCGCGTACGCCCAACAGCCGGTCAATTTGTACACCGCGAAACGATCATCAACTACCACGATTAACGTTTCCCACGAAGGGAAACAGCTTCGTTTCGTTCTCGTTCTTTTTGCCCGAAGAGCTCCGGAGAATCGGAGAACTCGCTCCTCTCCTTGATTTGTCTTGAAAGCGGGACGAGCTCGTTTTAAAAGAGTAATTACGCTTTTTCGTCGGTCGTCCGAGAATTCCCGCGAAAGGGAGGAAACGACGATGGTGATAAATGGCGAGCGAAAGGTCTTAAGTTTACGTAACTATTACGAGCCATTAGAGCTATTCACGACGATCACGCTGCCGCGGATGAAAATTATTAAATAGTACGTATTAGGGCCACGTCGTTTCACGTCGCGGGGAACGACGACGGTCACTTAGCGGCGCTCGTGAAACGCTCCAAGTTAAAGTT